ACTGGGTGGGGCCTAGAGGCGCGGCCGGAGCGGGGTCAGAGGCAGGGGCTCTGGCGTGGCCCACCCGGGCCCAGGGAGCTCCAGAGGCCGGAGTCCGCGGCCCGGGACGGTCGAGACCTGACCTCAGGGCCTGGCGACCTCGTACCTCCCCAGCCTCTGCTTTCACTTTGCGCGGCCCCCCGGGCACCACTTCTCCCCTGCGCGGTCCTTGGGTTCCGGAGCGCCACCCCATCTTGGAGCGCACGGCGCAGGGGCCTTGGGCGGGGAACCCCGAGAGGCCCCTGAGCGGGCCAGTACTGGTCCCCACCGTCCGTGGGCTAAGAGGTCGCGGTGCTGTCACCCAGGGCTGGGGCGTCCCAGGGCTGGGCCTTGTTTGCCCTTTCTGCCTTGGCCAGGCACCCGCCCCCAATCTGAGAAGGGTTTTCTCGGCACCCTGGGCACAGGCAGCTCCCGGGATAGGAACCAGCCAACTTTATTGAGCACTTTGTTCATCCAAGAAGCACCTATTGAGGGCCTGCTGTGTGCTAGCCTTTCTAGGCGTGGGAGATTCCCTGTGAGCTAGGCGCTCCTCAAAGGAGGAGGCCAACAAGTAAATGAAAAGTAAGGCTTGTAGTGTGTTAGGAGGAAAATAGAACCTGGAGGGAGTGGGCCGGAGCTGGGGGAGGGCTGCTTGCCTTCGGGGCCTTTGCTGCTTTGGCTGGAGAGGGGGGAGCCCTGGTGGTGCAGTGGTTAAGCGCTCGGCTGCTAACCAGCACTCTGCGGGAAAAAGAGGTGGCAGTCTGCTCTATGGGGCAGTTCTACTCTCTCCTATAGCGCCGCTATGGGTCGGAATCAACTCAAAGGGCAATGAGTTTTGGTTGTAGAGGGGGAGGCAGGGGTCTGGGCGGGAGCTGACAGGGTTCCACGCTCCCTCCACCCCACCTCCCTCCACCCCACCGGATGCAGCTACAAGCCCTGTCTCAGGCTCTGAACCCAGGCCGTCACATGAATCATGTTTTGTAATCTTCATAGCAAGCTGAATTACCTCCACTTTACAGATGGGGAAGCTAAACCTAAACCGAAAAAACTTGTTGCCACAGAGTCAGTTCCAACTCACAGCAACCCAGTGGGACAGAGCAGAACTGCCCCTTAGGGTTTCCAAGGCTGTAATCTTTATGGCAGAGCCCTGCTGGTGCGATGGCTAAGAGCTCAGCTGCTAACCAAAAAGGTCAGCAGTTTGAATCCACCAGCTGCTCCTTGGAAACCCTAGTCTGTCCTGTAGGGTCACTGTGAGTCCGAATCAACTCGAAGGCAAGGGTTTGATTTTTTTTAATCTTTTCGGAAGTAGACTGCCACATCTTTCCCCCAACCGAGCAGCTGGTGGGTGTGAACCATCAACTTTTCGGT